TCAGACCTCTGGCTGAGAGAGGCCAGGAGGAAAAATCCTTGTGAGAACTCTCAGGGCTGGAAGATCCTGGTGCTCAACTTAATAGAGGCTGTAATTTTCAGAGACATCTCCTTTAATTTTCTCTCTATGGTTCCCGTGTTTTCAGGACCATTTCAATATTATTTATCTCTTCTGGAGGAGGAGGGGTTTATGTTCCTTTTTATTGTAGGAATGTGCCTTTCCACCTGAGCTGTGTGTACTCCATAACTCCTGCAGCAGGAGGACATGAAGAAAGATGCAGCTGAAAAATCTGCTTTTCCAGAAGTCTTTCCTATATTAGAATCCCAGAATGGTTTGGGTTGGGAGGGACCTTAAGGATCATCTCGTTCCAGCCCCCTGCCATGGGCAGGGACACCTTCCACCAGCCCAGGGTGCTCCAGCCTGGCCTTGGACACTCCCAGGGCTGGGGCAGCCACAGCTTCTCTGGGCAACCTGTGCCAGGGCCTGCCCACCCTCACAGGGGAGAGAATTTCTTCCTGATATTCAATCTAAACCCACTCTCTGTCAATTTGAAGCCATTCCCCCTTGTCCTGACCCTCCATCCCTTGTCCCAAGTCCCTCTCCAGCCCTTCTGTGACCCCCTTTCTGGCACTGGAAGGCTGATCTTTTCCACCCTCAGCATTGAGGCTCAAGAGCCCTGTTTATCAGAGATACCTTTTAATTCCAGGGCCTCTTCCCTCTTCCCCAGCCACCTTAAAGTTTGCTCAGCTGAGGTTTAGATCAGAGTTAATGTTTTCCTCCATCCAGGCTGACATGGAGCAAAATGCTTCCCCCCCGCCATCAGCTCCCAGGGAGACTGGAAATGAAGGCTGGGTATCCCTTTATATTGTGTTTTACTAAAGGTTTGCTCTATCCTAGAAAACTCCTGTCTCCTGAGGAAATACACTGCCAGTTTAAGAAGAGACTAATATATTTACTAGAACTTTACTCAGTCTAGGAATAATTTTGCTGTAGAGATTAATTTTTTATATCATCTTGAAGAAAACCAACTCTCTGGCAATTCCCCAGGGGTCCCATGTCTGGCCATTTCAGCAGAAGGGACTCAGATCTTGGCAGCTTTAAATGTTTTATCCTTCTATTCCTGCAGTGTAAGACCAATATATTCCTTTTGTTGCAAAGTTCAGAATTTTTAGGAGATTCTGAAAAAAAAAACCCTGGTTTTGTTTCTGAGGAACTTGGTTGAGGTGGCTCTGGGAGGAGTGAAGCTCGTGGCTGCTCAGAGCTCTGGTCTGCACTGAACATCTCAGGGTGATGCTGCTCGTTACCACCTCAGGAGCTGGCAGAGCTCCCCAGGGAGTGGATTGTCTCCCAAGATCAAGCCTTTTGGAGGGGATTAGTGCTGTTTATCGCTGTAGATGGGCTGGAGCAGACATCAGGAGAGACTTTCTGGCAGTGGTTCAGCCCTTCTGCTTTGGTGCCTGCCCAGGATGATGAAGGATTCACTCTGTGAATTGGGAGTAGTTTTGACTCGTTGTTTATTCCCCTCTTCCTAGAGGGAACAAGCTGATGGGCTGATGCCCTTGCTCTTTCTTGCTTGTTGTGTCTCTGTGTGTGACTTCTGGTCCTTCCAGGCTGATTTTAAAAAAGTTTCATAGAATCACAGGATCAGAGAATCTCCTGAGCTGGGAGGGACCCCCAAGGATCCTGGAGTCCAACCCTCAGCCCTGCACAGGCCCAGCCCCAAGAGTCCCCCCCTGTGCCCCAGAGGATCATCCAAACCCTCCTGCAGCTCTGGCAGCCTTGGGGCTGTGCCCACTGCCCTGGGGAGCCTGTTCAGTGCCAACCACCCTCTGGGGGAAGAACCTTTTGCTGAGATCCACCCTGACCCTGCCCTGACACAGCTCCAGCCATTCCCTGGGGGCTGTCCCTGCTCACACAGATCAGTCCTGCCCTTCCTCTGCCCCTGGAGAGGAGCTTTGGCAAAGGGCTGGATGTTTTCCAAGGGAAGGTGCCAAGGCACATGGGCTGGGCTGAGGGGAACTCCTGAAGTTACTGCAAAGGCACCTCAAGCTCACAGAAAGGTGCCCTTTGTGCGGCCCAAAATGTGGTGAATAAAAACCAGTGAAAGGGTTGACTGGATGAGGATCTGCTGGAACCATTTGTTTCCAGTCCTGCCTCTCCTGAGGCACCTTTCCAGCCAGCTGGAAGCAAATTTCTTCCTCTTCTGTTTGGACATGAATTACGGAACGTTCCTCGACTCTTGCACACCGAGGTGACGTCCCTGCTCAGGGCTGAGCCCTCCTGACAGCCCAGGCTGGGGGAGGAAATGTTCAACCAGCACAGAGACACACACCTGGGAACACTCATCTCCCTGTGGGGCTGTGGGATATCCTGGCTGCTCTCCTGGAAGGAGGGGGATGGATCACAGCCCTGCCCAGCACATACAGATGGATCACCTTGATTGACTCCCTTGGTTAAATGGCTTGGATTTATCTGCACTTCCTGAGAGGGAGTTTAGAGCAGCAGGAGGACAGAATATACAGAAATAAGAGAATATCCTCAGTGAGGAGAGAGAAACATGTGCTGGGAGGTGTGTGTGTCTAGTTGCCATGACTGTGGTCACAGAATAAAGCAGTTAATGGCATTCTGGGTTTGTCACTCAAAGCTGGTGTATATAAATCATGCCTTGGCCTCTCTCAGGTTCCTCAAGAGAGGCTTCATTTCACCAGGACCCTCATTTTGCAGTGTCACAGCAGAGCCTCCTCCCGAGCATGGGAGCACAGAGGGGTCTGTGTGGGCTCTGCCCACGCCTTGGGAGAGACAGAGAGTGCACCATCCATCCCCTGGTGTACCTTTGGGCTGTAACAGAACCACAGAAGGCCAAGGAAAGGTGTCCTGGTGCTGTCTAGCAGCTCCCACCCCACTCTCCCAGTGGGTGTCACTGGTGGATGGAAGGTCTGGCTGGAGGGAACACCCAACCTGCAGAATTCCTTGGCAAAGATATCCCTGCCCCAGGCCTCTCCTGCTGCTGCAAAGCCCAGCTCAGCTCCAGCAGCCTGGAAAGGCTGGTGTGGCCTCAGAGGGTGTTGGGGTTTCAAACCCTCAGCAGGGATTCCTCACCTGGAATTCCAGGTGCTTCCCTGAGCTGCTGCAGTTGGGAGCCCAATTCCCTTGGTCTGGACAGAGATAAGAGGCTGAGAGAGAGAAATGTGTTAAAATGGATCAAGAAAAGCAAAATTCGGCTTTAAAAGCAAACTGGTGGGTGCTGAGGGTTCCTGTAGTGGAAGTGAGCTGTGGAAGGGGGGTTAAGAGCTCAGTGTTCCAGTCCTTGGAGAGACAGGAGGAATTTGTTATGGATTTTGGTGGAACTGTTTCATGGGGAACGTGAAGAAGAAGGAATTAAAATGATAAACCGAGTTTTTGTTAGAATGTGTCTGTCAGAGTGGTAAAACCCTCAGCTGATGAACTGGGCAAGACCTGGGGTACTCTGAGGAAATGTGTTTGGGCAGAAAGATCAGATTTTGAGGAAGAAACAGACATTTTGAGAAGAATTGTCTCTGTGAGAATATCTTGTTCTTTTAAAATGCTGTTTAACTCTGCTGCAGTCTGCGTGGGAAGTGAAATTGGTGTCTCTTCCCTCCATAACCCGGCTGTGTCCCCTGTGTGGGGTTGGGAAGTTCACAGAGTGATCTCCTGACCTTCTGCAGGCCACAAAGTGTCCCCTTTCCCAGCTTCTTGACCAGATCCTCTGGCTCTTCTGAGCCTAGAGATGGCAAAAGGCAGCTTGGATGTGTCAGCCCTCCCCAGGTCACAGCCAGTGGCTCCTGGCAGTTGATTTGTTGTGATTATCCTGGGATAAAATCTAATCAAGTGTGGGCAGGGGGACTCCAGCAGCCTGATGGAGCAGGGAAGGATGTGCAGAGGTTCCTTGTCAGAAGGAATAATAGGAATAACAGCAATAAAAGGGATAACAATATTACTACTACTACTAACAATGATTCAACCTGTGCTTCCGACTGTGATTTACATTCCCAGGTGATTTTATTTCTGCCTCTCTATGCTACTTTTGGAGGAAAAATGTGTTTAAATCTGTGTCTTGGGGGGAGGCAGGAATGTGTTGTCCAGGGCAGAGGAGGTCCATGGGAGGTTGGGAGCTGGACCAAGCTCATCCTGAAGCCCTGAGCACAACCTCAAGGTTATTGTCCCTTCAAAAGCAAAGAGGTGACAAAATCTGTCCTGCTCTGCCACTGAAACAAAGGAGAATTTACCCTGGTGTCTTTAATTAAAAAAAAACAACACACAAAAGAGCAAACCAAACTAATCCAACATTACTTTTATGTTTCTGACAAAAAGAGAGAGTCTCTGCTAATGAAAAATATTAAAATTCCAGGTATCCTGTCTAATAAATAATAACATGAGCATGAACCTGGCTTCCCACAGTCAGCACCAAATCATGCACAGAGCTCTTTATGTTTTGAACTTTGCCTATTTCCCTCAGCTCTGCAGATATAAATAAATAATTCCCCTTGATAAAGGTCTGGGAATGCTGTACTTTAAAAGATAAGAAAGCTTTGAGGGGGAAATTGTTTTTAAATCCGTAACATTTGTATGCTGTTCACTGCTCACAGCGAGCACAAATTCATTCACTTGGCAGTTACCCAACCCTATTTTATTCTTACTCTGTGTTCCACCTCTCCTTCTCCTGGGGACACCTAACCTTCTGTGTAATTACCTCTCTGAGAGTGGGAAGGAGGCCTAAATAACCTCCCTAACAACTAAATAAGTACACAGATCCCTGGGACAGGTTATCACTTGGATGCCGGTGGTGGAGCTATCAGGACCGGCGTGCCTGAGCCAGGAGGAATTTCAAGACTTGAGGCAGTTTTGTTCCAGCACTGGGCCAGAGAACTAGAATTTGGAATGTTTTCAGCAAACCAGCCTTGGATTTTTGGAGTATTTGAATGCCTTCGATGGCTGGAAAGAACAGAGATGGGTTTTAACAGATGTTGTTTTCTCTCCAGGTCTGTCCAAGTCACTTGGTCTCATTGAAGGCTATGGGGGGCGTGGGAAGGGTGGCCTTCCAGCCACCCTGTCCCCTGAGGAGGAGGAGAAGGCCAAGGGACCCCATGAGAAATATGGCTACAACTCCTACCTCAGTGAGAAAATCTCTCTGGATCGCTCCATCCCGGATTATCGGCCGACCAAGTAAGTACCTGCTGCTCCGTGAGGGAGTGCTGGGGTTTGGGTGGCACCACGGGAAGGGGGGTGCTGTCCATGCTCTGGTTTGGGACTCTTGGCTCTTCCCTCATTATTGTTCACAGGGTCCTGCTCAGGGATGAGCAACTGGGGTAGTTTGGCTGAAACTGAGATCAGGGAATCACAAAATCACTGGGGTCGGAAGAGCCCTCTGAGATTGAGTCCAGCTGCAAACCCAGCAGCAGGGTGTTCACAGCTAAACCACATCTGCAAGTGCCACATCCACACGCTTTTGGAACACTTCCAGGGCTGGTGACTCCCCCAGTGCCCTGGGCAGCTGTGCCAGGGCTCAACACCCTTTCAGTGATGACATTTTCCCAATATCCACCTGACCCTCCCCTGTCTCAGCTTGAGGCCGTTTCCTCTTGTCCTGTCACTCGTTCCCTGGGAGAGGAGACTGATCCCCACCTGGCTCCATCTGGCTGTAGAGAGTGACATAATTCATTAAGATGATTTAGCAGGGGAAAAAAGTGATTTTCTTCCCACTCTTCTCTCTGTTTTCCTGAAGCAGGACATGACTTTGGGTGGAAGTGGAGCCATCAGAGTCTCACAGCAGCTTTCACCAGCCAAGGGCTGATCCCCGAGCTGTCGACCTTGGTGTTTATTGCCCTGTAAATATGTGCAAAGACTCTCCCTCTCTCTCCCTTGTCAGCTCCCTCACATCCCTGCAGGACCTCTGGGGCTGTGGGGCTGCCCTTGGGCTCCTCCTGGGACACTGTGGGATCTCCTGCTGGAGATCTGGGCCTTTGAAGGGAGTTGCTCAGGTGGCAACATCCTTGTTCTAGTCTCTTGCCAGAATGATCTTTTAAGGTGATGGTGATTTTTACCTGCCAGGCACCACAGAAGAACAGATTTTAAAAGAGGTGACACACCATTTTCCTCAGAGTGGGAGAGAAGACACGCTGGGAGTTTATCTCTGTGAAGGTTAATTTTAGATATGGCTGGTGGAGAGCTCCTCAAAATAGCAAAGGGTCAATTTGTCCAGGCCTGGAGTGAAATCCCTGATAAAAAAAAAAGGAGCTGAGAGAGATTGAGATGCTGGAAGACACTTGTCCAATGGCTGTGTTGTGGGGGCAGTGACAAAGCTGTTGCTTGACATCTGCAGAGCACTGAAAATCCTGCAGCTCCCTGGCTCCAGCAAATTGTTCAGGCTGGGAGAGCTTTTGTTCCTTCCCTTCCCCAATGCTGCAGGAATTTCAAGCAACCACTCTGGAGTTTCCAGGGCTGTCAACCCCCCACAACACAAATCCTTGGCTGAGTTTTCCAAGGAGAGGAGGCCCAGGCTGCAGCTCTGCTGGGGTGGTTCAGGACAGACTGAATTGCAGCTACAAATTGCACCTTTGGCTCTGTGAGATGCAAATTCCACTCCAATGCAAATCCTTGGAGCTGTTCCTCCCCGAGCTGTTACCTGAGGCTGAGCTGCTTATTTTCCACTTCTCATCCAGAACTCTGACTTCAGCATTGCTTCCTGAGAATTCATTTGAGAAGTAATGTGGTTTGGGTTTTTTTTTTCAGATTTTTGGGTAAGAAAAGGATGAATTCTGACATTTTTAGGCTTGCATTGTATTTTCCCTCTGTGCCACTATCCATCATTTCATGGGAGAGTGGTGGAGAAGACAGAGCAGGCACAGCAATTCCTTAGAGATGCTTCATTTTGGAGCTGGGCTGATCCTTTGGAGAGAATCTGTGGCACTGACTGCAACTGCATAATTTTATCTGTGTAAGAACTGAGGAGTGTGGTTTTTTTGTTGCTTTTTTATTTTATTTTATTTTGGAGATCAATTGTCTTGGTATTGCAAGAGAACAGTTGATCTGGTATGAAATAGGCTGGAGTTTGCTGGAGGATTTGAAAAGTTTCAGCTTTTCCTACCTCTGGCTCCAGGCTCCTCTCAGCACTTTGTGCCTGCAGCTTTATGGCTGATTTTATGAAGGGTTGAACACAAACCATTTAAGTCAAGTATCCTGGGCTCTGATTAAAAGAGATTCCAGTCAAAGGAAATTAGCCTAAATGGCTTCGAAATTGCAGCATTAGTGGGGAAAAAACTGTAGAGAACCCTCCAACTGATAAGAATTACAAAGCATGTTAGTTTTAAATATAATAGTGAAGCCTGTTTGCTTCAAGGAAAGAACCAGAATGCTGATGGACTGGGCCTGGGTCTGGTAGTGGCTGCTGCTCTCACATCCTTTCCTTTCCACCTTCTCTCTTTTAAAGAATGTGCTCAAGTGTTACTGTGAGTCCTCCTCCTGCTCCCCCTTTGTGCCAAAGTGAGCAGAGGAAGGAGAGTTCAGGGGAAATTTGGCCCCAATCACTGAGGGTTCAGGGGTTCAGGTGTCCCTGCTCAGAGTGGTTTGCAGGCAGGGTTTGGGGATGAGGAGGCAGCAGCACTCCCAGCTGAGGGGTTTCTGTCCCTGCCCAGGGGCAGCAGAAAGGAGGGAGGTGATTTTCCCTGCAGAAAACGGTGCCAGAGGTGCTGGGTACAGGATGGTGCTTTGGAGAAGGTAAGATCCTCCCCAGCAGCAGGAGCAGGGCTGTGGAACACCTTGTTTGCCCTGACCTGAGGAGTTGTGGTGTCTCTTTTTTGGTAGTTTGGATTGTCATCTCGGCTTTGGTTACAAAATGCAGGGTTTGAGATTTCCTTTTCCTTTCCCAAAAGCTGAGGCCGCTCCCCTGGGCTGGGAGGTGCCCTGCTGTTCTCCCCTGGAACAGGACTGGGTGTTGCACTGCACTGGTTCCCAAAAAAGTGCTGCTGGCAGTGTGGATGGGTGGAATAACGTGTGTGCTGCTGGTGCCAGCACACCTTGGGAGCTGGGCCTGTCAGAGCTTAATCTGGAGCTCATTAATGTCGATGTCCCTGGGCCTGACCTCGTGCTGAGCAGCAAAGGCTGTGCTGGGTGAGCACTGCAGGGTGCTTTGAGAGTGAACCACATAACAGGTCACATTTTGGGTGGCCAAGGAAGCTTCTCCTTTACCTAGAATAAGGCAGGAGTGACGTTTTGGTGCAAGGGGCTTGATTTCAGAACTGGCCACAAAACAGTGGCATAATGAGACAGGCACAGGCAACACATTTCTGACTTGTCTGATTGGGGTTTTTGCCTTTAAGATGAGATTCCTGCCTGTTCTGGAAAACAATTACAGCTTCCAGATTGGGAGTACCCAAGGTGCTGCCTGCAGGCTGCAGGACTTGTACACAAATCTCAAAAAAAAAAAAAAAAAAAAAAAAAAGCAGCTGGGGAGATTTTCTTCAATTTTCTGCAAAAAACTGTGAAGGACAAGGCTGATCTGTGAGTTTTATTGTTGATCCACTCACAGCATTTTCTGCCCATGGAGGATGGGGGGGTGGTTAGGAAGATATGTTGTTTTCTATATTGAAAGTGAAGCATATTTACATGGGATCCCAGGGACTGGAACATTCCCTGCTCTGCTACCAGGTTTTCTGCACCTCTCTTTTATTCTGTGATAGATGATTTAATGGGAACCTCTCCTGTGTGTAGCAGGAAAATAAAAATTGCTTTGTTGGATCAGTTTGCCTGTCCATCTTATCCAGCATCTAATCTCTGATAGTGGAATTACCAGATGCTTCAGGTTGAGGAAATCATATTAAGGAAAACTATGAAATAATCTGCCCATCTGGTCCCTTCTGCCTCCTCTATTCTCTCCTTTCAATCCTATCTAATATAAAAGTGGAGTTCTCATTATCTCTTTAAAAGTCTCTTCCTTTCTGGAATCCTGCTAAGCTCTGATTCAGTGGTATTTCATGGCATTATGGGATTAAGGAGTAGATTTAAGTAAAATAATACCCACGATTGTTGGGACTATTGGATCACTGGGTGAGGATGACAAATTCCTGCTGCTGCAAATCTCTTGACAGCTGCTCCCGTGCAGGGAAGCCTCAGGAGTTTCAAGTGAAGAGGGAGGATGAGGGTAGTGATAGGGAACTTGCACAGCTTGATTTTTTTTTTTTTTCAGATTACTTGAGGGCTTCCCAGCAGGACACACTGCCCCTTCCTCCTGCCTGCCTGGGGGTCCAGAGCAGGGCTTTGGAAAAGGGATAGGATGGGGGAATGGCTTAAAAATGACAGAGGGCAGGGTTAGATTGGATTTCTCCCCCTCATAGGTAAGCAAAGGGTTTTGTTCCCTTCTGGAGCACCCTGAGGTGCCTGCACAGGAGGGACATGGAGCCAGTCCTGAGGAGGCCACGGAGCTGCTCCCAGGGCTGGAGCCCCTCTGCTCTGGAGCCAGGCTGGGACAGCTGGGGGGGTTCACCTGGAGAAGAGAAGGCTCCAGGGAGATCTGAGAGCCCCTTGCAGGGCCTAAAGGGGCTCCAGGAGAGCTGGAGAGGGACTGGGGACAAGGGATGGAGGGGCAGGACAAGGGAATGGCTTCAAACTGAGAGAGAGGGAGTTTAGATTGGATATCAGGAAGAAATCCTTCCCTGTTCAGGTGGGCAGGCCCTGGCACAGGTTGGGCAGAGCAGCTGTGGCTGCCCCAGCCCTGGAAGTGTCCAAGGCCAGGTTGGAGCAACCTGGGATAGTGAGTGGAAGGTGTCCCTGCCCATGGCAGGGGATGGGATTGGATGTTCTTTAAGGTCCCTTCCAACCCAAACCATGTTTGTGATTCTGTGACAGGAAAGCTTTGGAGGTGTGTTGGGAGCTTGATTTGCTTTTTCCAGCATTCTTCTGGTTTGTGTTACCACAGGGACCACGAGGCCTTAGATCATGACCTGGGCAGGGCTTTACCATCACCTGCAGCCACTGCTAAAGATGGAGCAGTTTCATATCATGGCCTTGATTTTAATCTTTCCCAGTGGTGTGTTTGGGGGTTGAGTCAGAGCCATTACACTCAAGTGTCTCAAGTGGCTGAATCACCCATTTATTTCCATGGGAGCCTTCTCTGGGAGCAGTTGGGCTTTTTGGCACCATCTGGCTTGAGCTGGTTTTATCACCAGAGG